TTGTGTCATTTGGCCTAAACAAATTTTTTGTGGGAATTCATTTTTCTCTTTAAAAATTCACTGTGTTTTTCAAATTTCAACTTTTCTTTAGTATCGAGGTATTGCTTAAGTTTTGAGCTAAAATAATATGTATCAAAAATTATTGTAACGGTTAGGTTAGTACATAACATTATATAAATATTATTCATAATTACATTACCCAATATCGTTAACAATATCTGTGTCACATGAAGAAATCCAAACAGATATTTTACTGTATTGACGCCTATTATAGACAATACCGCAAATATTATCATTGTACGGTTCATACATTCCACCAATCATACTCAACAACTAAAAAAAGTCGAATAAAGTAAATTTTGATAAATACAGTAGAAATGAAGGAGGCAATTATTACAATATCCATCCAGTACTGATCTAATAGTCCACTATCCTTTATTAACCAACGTCCACCATTTTTGTTTGTTGGGTCTTCCCACATAGGTTTTATATCCGATTTAAATACAGAGTAATCACAGCCAGTTGTTAACATACTAGGTATTTTAATATGATTAAAAATACTGTGAATAAAAACATAAATTATGATTAGTTTCCCGTTGAAATGATAAACGTGTAACACAATTTATTTTAATACCTACCCAAAATATTAAATAACTAATAAAACTGTTTTCTCAATAATATCTGATTATTATTATTAATGTCTTACTTTTTTGACGGATGTAAATAATATATCTAGCTTAGATAATATGAAAAAAAAATCTGTTACACTTAGATTGTAGGTACAGTACCTATAATTTGTGTTGTAATAGCTACTGGCATAGTGACATAGATCAATTTTAAATAAAACACATAATAAATACATTGTACTAAWCCCTGACCAGTGAAACAGAACTASAAGAGCCAAATTTTGATGTATAGGTAAAAAATGTATTTTTTATATTGCATTAAYGGCTAGGTAAGACCAGRGCCTGGGAATTATGATACTTGGAGACACCACCATTGTTGAGTTATTGACAACCTATCATTAACTTTGTCAGGTAACTGTCAAAATACTTATCAAATTCTTTATTTTTAATTGTTTCTTTAGTTTAAATTTAAATTAAGTACCTTGAATTCTCCTTGAGTTTTGACAGGCCTCAAGGTATAACTATACAGTTAAAGAAAAACATTTTTTGTTAAACTCTATATTAATGCTTGTTCTAAAATATAATTACAYGTGAATCACAGTACTTGGAAACACATGTTCAAAGGAACTTTTTAAAACGATTTATTCCAATTTCCATTAACTTAATGGGAACAAATGTCTTTTTTCTTGTGAAGGAATATAATGTTTATTATTTATTTCTATTTTTATTAATTATTTTATTTTTCATATATTCTAAATTTTAAGGAATTTAAATAATTTTTAAGGCAAGCTTTTATTGATTGTTTCTTAACTAGTCTAAACTTGTTTAAAATAAACAAATCAAACATTTTTAAAACAAAACAAGTACCTATTTTTAAACAATGATTACTACAAATTATGATAAATCATATTAATACAATTTTAATTATTGAGGAACAAAAATGTTGTAAAATTGGGAGAAGRAACTAGCTTTTTACTTAAAGCCAGGAACGAGAAAAGTTTTATTTGTTTTTTTTTAACAAAATAAACATGAATGTGAACTAATTTCATTTTTAAAGGAACTTTCCAAGCACTGGCAAGTCATAACACTGATTCATTTTTCTATAAACAATACAAATACTCAAGCACATCTTGTGAGTTAATAGTTAACAAGCTTCTAACTGTTATATATATTTTTTTTGGTCGATCTTAGATAATGCTTTATCAGTATATTTTTTTTTTTTTTTGGTAAATACTTGCCTCCAAAATTTTTCAACACTGTCAAATTCACACAATCCGTGCAAGTTATCCGTCCAATTGACATCTGGAACTGCTGTTCCGCTGAATCTCCAATACCATAGCTTCCACGAATCGTTCAACAAATGGACGTTACCTACGTCGTCTTTAACAAGTAGTGCCATTGTTTTTAAAATGTTTAAGTCTGTAACGATACGGTAATCTATAAAATATGACGCGTCATGTGCGGCGAAGTGGAAAACGAATCGTAGTTAGCTGGTGTTAAAAATAAATTAAATKTACGAMATATTATTTTAATAACACGGAACTAAAATCAAAACGACGTACCTAGATTCTACGAGCGCTCTAAATCTACCAACGTCAATGCCATTAACAACGAAATGATTTTCAAAATATCACGTAACGTGGATACCTATGGTATTCAAGCAAGACGGTTGACGGATTTATTAATATTCAATGAACACAAACTATAAAAAAAAAATTGAGAAGTATCGTGTAGGATAGCAACTTGTATAGTAAGTAGTAACGACGACGTATGGAGTATTGGAGACTCATGGAGTACGGTTTTATATATTGGGAAAAACGGTCGTATTGAATATCAAATTCAGACATTCAGTACGTAATTTTCAGGTAAATCGACTTCGCGACCATGCCATGTGACAGCACTGTTTATTGATATTTGATAATCATGATTCTCGACCACGATTAAAGATATACCTTAATTACCTAAATCGTGTTCTCGACATATTTAACAGTTTAACACAATTAGTAACTACTAACTACCTATCTAACAACATTATTTGTTGCCTATTGATATTTATTAGTTATTACCCAACGACTGCTATTATCATAGGTAAATTTTTAATTTTAGTATTTATTTTTTAAAAGATTAAAACTGTAAAGGTACCTCTCGCCTCTCTGTGGTTTTCCCCCACTTTTTTAGTACTTTGTCATTTTGTCTTTCGATTTTTGTTTTGCATTTGGTCAATTCAATACTCAATTTTCTCAATGGTCAGATACTTAGATGTTAGATGGAAGTGAATTTGAACGTCTTAAGAGGACGCTACACAACCATTTGTTGTCTTTGCCTTAAAAGTGCATAACATAGAAAATGTTCGCTCAGCAGATCACGTTTAGCTCCGTTACCTATATAGTTTAAAAATTAGAGTAAATTGACCTATTACAATATTATAAAACTTGATGGTAAGAACATTGAATTTAGTAGCTTAGTACTACGGAGTTGGATCTTGGATCGAATAACATTATGAATTTAACAAGATAAATTTTTATTATTTAAAAAAATACATTAAAAATATTAAAAGGACGTGATACCCGTGCTGTGTGTTGCCACTTGTCTTACAAGCGCGTAACAGTAAAAACTGTTTGGCGTGGATAGAACCACTCCGGCCGATTCTCACAAAGTCCGGTTAACGGTTACTGSGATTTTTACATGCAGAATTCCGCCAGTGAAGTGTCCGTTAAGGCGTTAACTTTCACCGGACATTGAAACAACGGCCCATAAACATAGCCACATAGGGAGTGAATTTGGGGGGTGCTGAAATAATTGATGGTATACTTAGTCTGCACTCTTAGTAGAAACAACATATAGAAGGTACATAATATTTACTGTGTCTTAGCRTTTTTATTTGTTTGATAAAATTTTTAAGACAAAAGTTAAAATACTTTTAAAAATCTGATATTTTTAAGTTTTTCAAACTTCAATAACTTTTTACGTATTAGTCTTCAAAAAGTAAAAACGTTGCGACACAGTTAAAGTTCTCATTTTTTCATGGTGAAAAATTTGGTTTAATAGTTATAATTGTAGACTTCCCAGTTTTTCTCTGTGCTAAATAGTTTTTGCTATGCTACGCACTAGTAAGACAGAGAGACATTAAGAAAATAAGAAAAATAAGATTTAAATAAAACTAAAAACAAAAAATAATTTGACATACTATAGAACTCTGGTTTGGCTTCTGTTAATCAATWATCATTCTTGAGCCTTTGTAATTATTCTAGTAGCATACCTACGGACGTGGAGGAGGCTTGGGGGTATCCCCCTCTCAAACCGAAATTCAGGTCTACGTACACCACTGAATGGTTCTCATATTTTGCTTTAAATAGAGAAAAAATGTATGCACAACTTTAGTATTTGTAGCTTTTGAAAATTGTGTATAATAAAATGTAGATGACAGTATAAAACCGCTGCAAAATCTTCAACAGATGTTAAATTAAATTGGAATTTTTCTATAGTAAGGGCTTAGTGTTCATTAGTTCATATAATTATACAGGATTTGCAGTTTACTTAAAATACATTGTTAACATTCTTATTACTTATAGCTAAAYACTGAATGTGTACACATTTTTTCTGTTTAAAATATAGATACAATCAGCAGCCTGGGATAGTATAAAAATATATGCTAATTGATTAAGACAGAAAAATTGCCTGTTAGAAGAAGCCACTCTTACGTAAAATGTCCTACTGTGTAATATSCATAGCAAGGAATTCGTTATTCTTCTAAGGATGGTATAATTTTAAGATTTGAGATATAGCTTAAACAAAAAATAAATTAAAAACTCAAGTAATAAGCTTTCTTAATTTTTAATATTAATTTTTTATTTTAAATGCGTTTTATTTTTAAACATTTGTTTTTCAACTTTGCTAATTTATATCATAAATGAGTGTTTCGTAAATGATCCTTGTTTATTTGATGTATCTGCATGAGACTCATAAACCATCTTTTCATTTTGAGCGCCCAAAACTTCCTTTATTTTCCTTCTAAAATATAAATTAATCAATATTTTAAATTAACAATAAAAATGTTCTTCAATAATCAAATAAAATATTTGTTGTTTAAATTGTTTATACTAGAAAAGCAAAAATATGTAATATGTAGGTAATAGATTACTAGTTTAAATTTCAAGATTTCTTGAGGTTTATTACATATCTTTTTAGTACTGTTAAGTAACAGTGGTTATAAATAACATAATATGTGTTTTATCAGTAAACACCACATTTAATGTAATAATATACCGCAAGTAGAAAATGTCAAATGTCAAATTATATTTTGTTACATACCCTATAGCCATAATGTTACTTCCGTTATCTTTTGATGCATTGTTTGTCCATACTGCTATTTTAGTTGCTTTGGCTCGTACATTAACTATWGCTCCATTAATTTCAGAACTTTGGTCATATATTTCACCGATTATACTCAATATCTTAAAGTGATAAAATTAATAAAAATAAATATATTAATATTAATATTTTTGTATTTGTAAATGAAAATTAAATAGAAAAATAAAGTTTATTCCTCACAATATTTTTCCAGTACTCGTCAACTTGTTGGTTATTTTTTGCTGGTGGTAACTGTAATAACCAACGACC